TTCAGAGACTATAAATCATACAGTAGGAGACTGCCCATCTTTCTCCCACAGAGCAGCTGGGGGATCCAAACCACTTTCCTTTTGGTTAACAGCACAGCTCCTTACCTGTAGGCCACCAAAGATCCTTGATGAAAGTGGTAAGAAATAATAATATTTAATTAAAGTTGATTACTGTGCTAAATGCTATTCTAAACACTTCACATGCTTTGTTGTTATGTGCCATCGAGTCGTCTGCGACTCATAGCGACCCTATGTACAACAGCCCTAAACTCCACTCTGTCTTGTGCCAATCGCATTGTCTCTGACACTCCCAACCCAATTACCCCAGTCACTGAATCAATCCACCCCATAGAGGGCCTTCCTCTCCTGTGCCATCCCTCCGCATTCTTATTTATTATTTTTTTACTGTTTTTTCAAAAGAGATTTATTTTTTTAAATTTTCTATTGTTTTGCCTACATAATAGTATTATATACTGGTTTGCATACACTGTATTTCACAATTTCCTTCATTGGCATTGTGTTTCATACAATCATTCTCATACATTGGGTTGGTTTTTTTTTTTCTGATTGTTTGTTTTAATTTTTTTTAATTTATTATTAATTTCAATGAAGATGTACAGAGACTTTGGATTTCCATTCATTTATTGTTGCACTTTTCTCCCCTCCCAACCCTTCCTCCTAGTACATTACCCTCTTGGAAAAGTAAAAGAAAAATTCTTTCATTGTTTTACAATCCCTCCACCCAGGTCCACTCCACTATGTAGCTTTCGCTCTGGACTCCTGTCATGACAAAAATACCTAATCACATAATCCCTTTTAAACAGTTTTCTCCCTTATCTGCTTCAATGTAGTATACATTATTTATCCCATTTTTTTTCAGTCTCCCCCCAACCCTGAGGTCAGTCCTGTTTTACAACAGTGGCACCATGTAGTATTTGTCCTTTTTGACTGAGAAACTTAAGTCAGCATAATGTCCTCCAGGGTCACCCATTTTTAATAATATTGCATGAGTTCCTTGTTTTTGAATGCAGCATAGTATTCCATTGTGTGAATATACCACAGCTTCTCTATCCATTCGTTTGTTGATGTACACTTGGGTTGTTTCCAACTCTTTGTTATTGTGACCAAAGCCGTGATAAACATGGGTGTGCATATATCTGCTTGGATGTCAGTTATGGTCTCTTTGGGGTATATTCCCAGTAGTGGAATTGCTGGATCAAATGGTATCTCTATTTGCAACTTTTTGAGAAAGTGCCATACCAGCTTCCCCAGTGATTGCATCATTTTACACTCCCACCAACAGTGAATAAGGGTTCCAGTTTCTCCACAACCTCGCCATCATTTGTTGCTTGCTGTTCTGTTAAATTTTGCAGTTCTGACTGGGGTGAGATGATATCTCATAGTTGTTTTGCATTCTTATTTATTTTTAAGTACTGTATTAAAGCACAGATATTTAGCATGCCAAAAATAAATAAATAAAACCAAGGATACATGGAATAAATCTGATACATCAGTAAAGTCACTTTAGGTATAATTCAATGTTATAGCTCCTCATTAGACACATTAATTTTATGCTTAAGAATTTATCCTACATGAATAATTTGTTTGATAAAAATATGTAGGCATAAAATAGGTCACAAGTGTTACTTTTTATTGGAATGAAAAAATCAGCATGTCTAAATACCGAATAAATAGTAACTAATAGTAAACAATATTGTATTTACTTCAAGGAATATAATTTAACCTTTAAAATAAAAAATATGAAGCCTATAGCAAAATAGGGAGTTCTGGTGGGATAGTCGATAAGCAGTTGCACAGCTAACCCAAAAGCAGTTCAAACGTACTAGCTGCTGTGCAGGGGCTAGATGAGCAGTCTCCTCCTGTGCAGTTACAGTCTTGGAAACCCTCTGAAGAGGGACATGAGTCAGTTCTGACATGACAGCAATGAGTGAGTGAGTGAATGATAACAAAATAGAAAAAGATATTTTTTAAAATGTTTTGATTGTGATTTCAGCATATAAAATTTGGAATAAACTTGGGAAAATTCAGCTATTTTATATAAGTGGTGGGGTATGATTAGATATTCTCTTAATAATGTCTTTAAACATTTTCTCTTTTTTACGAATACTAATGGAAACCACGGGATATGTGACTCCATGTAAAGAGCTGTTCTAATCTTAGTCCTGTGTCACAGTAACAAAATTTCTAAAGGGGAAAAAAAGTTTACAAAAGTTTTATTGTTAAGTTTTCCCTTGCTGTAAAATACACTGACAGGTAATTTTTTCATTGTTATTTTCTTAACATTCCCTGAGTGAGCTTGCTACTTCTTATGGAACTTTGACTTGTATATTCTAGGGCTAGTGTCTAGGAGTGCACAAGACAGTAGTGACTTTGCTTCAATTTGGAATGCTTATCATTTCCATAATCCCCTTGGTAATATGATTCTGTCCTTCAGAAATTTATAAGCTTTAATTTTAAGAAGTCCTAACTAAACCAAACCACCTAGAAGAAAGTTTTAAGTACTTTAGAAGTCTGAATTACAGAAGATCTTGGAAAAATAGGAAAATTTACGTTTTGCCTTACACTTAAAAAAAAAAAAAAAACCCTCAAACTCATTACCATTACAGCTAATTTTTCAGAGGCTGTAAGTTGAATGGGATGAGTTTAACCATCTTTCTTCTTTGGAGTCACGGACTTCATTGAACCACTTCATTTTGGTTTGGCAGCACAACTCCTTACCACCAGGCCACCGAAGATAGTGATTGCCAAACTTCTGCCATGGGGATGGCACTGAAGTTACTGAGTGTCTTGAGTTTCACTACCTTTTCTCCTTACCTCAGCAGAATATAGTTACACTTTTTGTGCTTCCCTCTCATAGCAATCTTCTTAGAATTTCTTTAAAAAAACAAAACCCTCTTAGGGCTAGGGATTTTGAGCATTTCTTCATGTGTTTGTTAGCCATCTGAATGTCGTCTTCGGTGAAGTGCCTGTTCATATCCTGTGCCCATTTTT